TTCCTGTCAGTTCTCTACTGTAGTCCTGTCCAATACAGAGAAAAACTACCCTCAGGACATTTTAAAATTACAGACCAAACCAGAAATTTGGTTCTTGTGTGAGAACAGGGAGGCTTCTCGTTCTTCCATTATTTAGATTGCTTTGATTTTCATATACCTGTTCTCATACTTTTCCTTGTTACCCAAAGAAATTGTTAAAATGTCAGCTTATCTAACCTTTCTTTTGCTTCTTCCTGTAGATGTGAAGAACCTGGAGAATTTTCACCTGGTAGAAAGTGTCCAGGAACAGGTCAACGCAGCGCTGCTGGACTATGTTATGTGTAACTACCCGCAGCAAACTGACAAGTTCGGCCAGCTGCTCCTGCGGCTGCCTGAGATCCGAGCCATCAGCCTGCAGGCCGAAGAATATCTTTACTACAAACACCTGAATGGCGACGTACCCTGCAACAACCTGCTCATTGAAATGCTACATGCAAAGAGAGCTTAGAAAGGGACTGCCCTACCTATAATGCATCTGCATGGAGAGTTTTGCTGCAGCCCAAACACTGTGAGACGACCTGGAGAATGGGGAGCAGAAATCGTTAGCAGCTGTAGTTTATAATGAACTTCTTTTGATTTTTGAATTACAACTTGAAGAACAGACTAGGACAACACATGCACAGAGACTGATCATGTGCAGATAAACAGCATATGGATCTCTTTATTCTTAAAAAAAAGAGCCAGCTCTCCTCAACCACAAAGAAAAACACAATACTGAAAGGAAAAAAGAAAAAAGCTTGAAACAAACTCTGCATTTGACATTACAAGATGTTATTTATCATCTGCACGAGCACAATGTCAAGACTAGCAGGCTGCAACTTAAAGAATTAACAACCCTTGAGTGTTTTAGCACTGGTGACACTGTGAGAGGCTTTTTGTGCTGAGAAAGGAAGCTGAGCAGCACCGCCCATCTTTCAGGCAACTTTGTGACTAGACCGGTGACTGATTTTGATCAACAATCCTCCGGCGTGCTCTCTCACTGAAACTGGCTTTTAGTTGTTGCTGGTACTACAAAGACAACTGGACAGGCCCTTCAGCCGGGCCAGAGACTCTTAACTACCATCATGTCTGTTTTTTAAACTCAAACGAGATGCTTGCCATGGCAGCTTGACCCCACTGAAAAGGGAGAACTGGTCTAGAATAAAGGTCTAAAACAGGAACATTGATGAACAAAATGATAAAGAAAAATATTATGTTTTTTTTCTCTTGTAGTGGAAGTCATATGCTTCTCATGGTCACCTTGTGGTTTCCCTTTCTTATTCCATCTCCCCAAGGCATCTAAAACTATGTACCTCAGAAAGACCAGTGTTAAATTCATTTAATGTCAGCTGAAACAACTGTATTTATAGCCATTTTTTCCTGCAAAACTCCCCCCCCCTCATTATCTCATTCAAAATGGATCAAAACAAAACAAAGTGTGATTCTGAAGATGGAAAATGACTGATCCTGTCCAGAAAGACCAAAGCTTGCTGTGGAACAGAAGAAGGAAATTAGAAAAACCTTAATAATCAGTATTATAAGGAAAAAAAAAGAAAAAGAAAAAAAAAGATTTGTGTCACAGTTATGAGTCTGGCTTTATTTCATTACCATGCTAGCTAACCGTGCAGATGTGAAAGAAAATATGTACAAATATATATATAAAGTATTAATGTTGTAAAAAATTTTAAAAAAGAGTAATTCAACAGGTGTTTACATTCATGTGATCACATGGGAGAGAACTGTGATGAAGCATAAATTGCAAAGCAATGATTTCCTAAAAAATGAAATCAACTAAATGAAAAAAAAAATCTGTCTAGTTTGCTTTCTTTGATGTGTGTACAGTGTTTTATCTTTTATTTGTACTGAGCAGTACTTAAATTATGTCGTGAGACACTAAAATCAAAAAGGAATCACACTTAAAATGTTAATTTCTATGTGTGTCTGCTGGCATTCAAACATTAGTTTCTTAAGCATTGCTGTATAAGAGTTCTGCTTCACTTTCAACCTTTTTGTAGACGTTTTCATTTTTCCTTTTTTTTTTTTTTACAGTGCTTTTGCCTTTCTTATGTACAGTATGTCACTGGCTACGCTTAATAATGAAGATAATTTATTGCATCTCTGGGTTTCCATTTTGTGTTACATGACGTGAGGTGTCCATGCCAGAATAAATTTGTTTACTGTAGAATGTTCTTGTTTTGTTTTCACAAGTAGTTCTGAGATGCAGATCTGGAACAAAAATAATGGGTTTTCAAAAAAAATCACCGCAATTAAAAAAAAAAATGTTTAGGCAAGTCTGTACATTGAAAAAGAATATTGTATTTAAGCAAGTAGGATTTGAAAGATGTTTGTCCCAAATCAATTTTTCTTACTGACTTTCAACATGTATCTAATTGTTCTCTCTGGTTTGCTCTTATACCAAAGACTGCATCTTTTCCTCCTGTGACTTTTATATTGTGTCCAAAGTGCAAAACAAACAAAATTGACTTAAAAAAAATTTCTTAAAATACTGCAGCTCAATTTATTCTCATGTGGAGTTCTTCACGATTGCTGTCAAAATATTCCCCGGACCTGCCTCCTACAACAACCAACCACTGCTGTTTGTTTACTTATTGACAATTTGTTACACCATAGAATCATAAAAAGTCTGCCAAGAGTATATTTAATGTACAGAAAAGTCACTGAAGTCCCATATCAGTAAGAGGACTCTGATCCCAAGTTTCATCATCATTAACTGAGCAGACAGTCTTTTATACTCCACTGAAAATCTGTGTTTAGGCTCTTCAACTGCCTCGGATGTCCTTTCGCATACAAGCTAAATCCATCCCACATCCAGGTAATACAGGCACTAATGTGGTTACTGCATTATTCCTGATTTGAACTTTAATTTTGTTATAACACTGCTAAAGTTCTGCTTCACCTGCAGGAGGAGACAAAAAGTTTACTAAAAGCTTGGAGAAATAAAATTCTATCACTTCAATCAGAGGTTGCAAGGGATGGTCTGAAATTCAGCTTTTTACAGCAAACCTCTGTATCTTAAGAGTAATTGTCAAGGCAGAGTTGTGTGCAGGACATATGCTTTAACAAGGCATTAAACAATGACTACCTTTGTGTATTCACATCCCCAGTCAACACGTGGATACACAGTGCATCAAGATGCTATTTTCCTTTCTGCTTTTCTATGACCTTTACCCCCTCCTCACTGACATTCTGACTTCCTTTATCATATGATTGTGGGAGTGTCTCTTTGAGGCTAATTTAACTTTTCCTCATAATTCAATACATTATTATTGTGCTTATTTACAACAGATTCTCACTTCCTCCACACACTAACGCTGTCCAGTTTCATTACATGTATTTTTTGTAAGTAATTATAAGATAGCTATTCAAACACCTCTAGTATAACATTAGAATAACATACCATGTAGGAATGAGAGGTGAATTCCCAAGTGATATGCAGATTTAGAAACATTTTATTATACTGATACAAAATGTAATTCCTGTTGATGTTGGCCTATATGTATTTCTTTCTAATTTGTCATGCCATTCTCACCTTTAGTTGAGTTATCTATTAACATATGCTTCTTTTCTGTACCTGGGCAGAGTGAAGAAAGTAGATGAGATGCTGTACAATATCAATCAGTTATTATTATTCATGCCGTCCTGGTCTTTATTTGATAGGTTGACAGTAAAGTGACAGGAACTATGGAGAGAGATGAAATGATATATGGTTTTAATTTTTTTTTTTTTTTTTACAAATCCCTGCCTGAATTAAACCAGGGATGGAGTCATATGATATGCGTGTTACACTAATAGGTCACGAGGACACGCCGTTACTCAGTTCATATAGATCGCAGTGCTACCACACAATTTACTGGACAATATAATGGTTTCACAAATACATGTACAACAAGTAAAGCCATGTAAAACTGTTAATGTAAAACATAAAAATTAAGTCCTGGTATTTATTCAAAAATACCAGTATTAAGGAATGCAATACTTACAAACATGTACCAAATATTCCTCTCTCTACATGAATCATAGGTGACAGAAAATTGAAGAGTCAAGGAAAAATTAGCTACATTAAAGAAAATCAAAATGAGCTAATCTGATTACAACATAAATCACAATATAAAACTAAAATCACAATCACACTAACCAAGTCAGTCTACGTGGACGAGGTCGTAGCTTTTCTGAGGCGCAGGGCTACGAGGGAAACAGGAATATGTAAACTCCAGCTCCACAGGAACATGAAGACTACAACCAGCTGCGAAGGCATCCACTTCGAAGGGATTAGGCTCCTGGATGGTAGAGGGAGATGGGTAAGTGGGGAGTGTCAAGTCACTCTAGGAAAATAATATTTACACTATAGTAACACAAGAATAAGTTCATAAAATACACAGTTCGATTAGGATGGAGGGCATTGTCTTTCCATCCTCTCCTTTTTCCAAAATGTGTCCTTGTAATTGATTCAGACCCACTTTAATGTCTTTAAATATTTTTTATGTTACCTTGTTTTAAATCTCCTTCATGGTTCAATAAGGGTTTTGTTTCCCCATCTAATCAGTTTCTGTAGAATCCAGGTTGTCTTACTATACAGTGCATCAAAGTGACCTATACTATTTCTGACTCATCTCATTCTCAAACTGCTTCAGTTGTAATATTTCCAACAAGTCTTTAAATCGTGAATAGATGAAACAGAAAACCATTTCCAATGATCACATTATGTCTTAAATCAAACCTTTGATTATTGTTGAATAAAGGATTAACCAGAATTAAAGTCAACAGCTAATGTTAAAACCATTTTATATCAGGAGCAATTCAAATAAAAAAAGCAGCTCTGTTCACTGTATCTCAACTTTGGACTCCACTCATCCCTCAGCCTTCAACAGCACAAATGATGGTGTACCATAATACACTGCTTTTATTTATTTAAACCTATTTCTGCTCTCACTAAGAGCTTTTTGACACAAAGTTAATGAATGATCTAAGGACCTTTGCTTTTTCATCAGGTAAAGTTTTCTGCCAATGCAGAAAATCCACCCAGCTACTCCTTATAACCCATAACCAGCCTCTTCCCATCTCTCCCACGTACATTCATTTCTTCCCATGTTTTGCTGACCTACACCTTCTACAACAGAAATAGTGTTAAATATCTGCCTATTTTATTAGCATATTAATATTGGGCTTACAAGAGCGTGTGTAACCCTAACCTGAAAGAATCACACTGCAGCCAGATCTGCTGAGAACGTTTCTGTAATCCGTTGTGTACACTTGGTAAGTCCGTAACTTTTCTACATTTTCACGATATTTGATGAAATAAATTCATTAAATTATAGCCAACAAATTTTAAGTGTCTCTTGTATATATCAAACTTTTGACAATATACTGTATTCTTTTCAGTGCTTTTTCATGAAGCAAATGCAATTAGGATCATTTGACAGCTGAGACAATGATGATAATATTAGCGCTGCTCTGGTACAGCATTAAGGATGCTGGTCACAGCTGGGCAAGCAGCCAGTTTGATCCCCGGCGCACAGCACTCCAATCCTCACTTGGAGCTTGGCTTGCAGTGCCTGGCCTCCTGTCTGTAAATGTGTTAAACCTGCTTTCACTCGCCCTGAATTTGTATAAATAATGTATATACATTTATCCACAGACTCTAACAAGTGCAGCCTCAGGTGAAAATACTAAGAAATGCATGCTATGCGCATCCCCGAAGGTGGACATCAGCTCCAAACCAACCAACTCAAAAGATAACCGCTCAGAGAGCAAGAGAAAAGATGAAACACACACACACACGCACGAATAACTTGCCAAAAGCAACATAAACACACATACACACAAGCTTTCTCCCTCTCACACACACACAGATGCAGTGCTGTCAGTTTCTAAACTAGTTTTCCTTTCTGTAACACAAACAGCCCCAAGTTGTGTCTACCAGTGTTATGTGAAGCTTTTAAACTCTGGAACCACATCACTCGTGTTTACTGAGATGTACTTGTACATTTCCCTGCATTGTCAAAGCACAGTCAAAGAGAAAGAGATTGAGGGCAGAAAAAAAACACAAAAGCTTTTGCAAGTGTTCCAAGATTGCAGGAAAAGCTGCCAGTGAATGCTGGAAGCAGTCAGTTTGGTGTTCAGTCCAGTTTTCCATTCTGGCCTGGAGGCTTAATCAGCAAGGACAGTCACTTTACTGTAATAGATTTGGTATAATTTGTATTATATATAACTCTATATGCAGTCTAATTCAGAGAGTCTATAATTTAAACTTTTTCCTAAGCAACCACCAAAATAACACAAAGTACCGGGTCCTGTACTCGTCCATGTATTGGCTCAGTCATTGTAGGTGATCAGGTAGAATGTAGGCAACAATTGTTTATTTCCCCTCAGTATTCATAGGCTGTCTTTTAAGCTGAATTAAGACTTCCCCGCAAATTAAAGCAACCTTAGCAAATTAATTTAAACATTATCACATAAAAGTACACAACTTTAACACATACTGCCAACAGTGGGGGGGGAGCGGGGGGACTTAAATCCTACCGTAGTCATAAGTATTCTTGTTTTATCAGTAAAATATTATGTGATTTAAGCAACATAATTTGCTGAAATCCAAAGTTTAACCTTAAAAGGACAGCAGAGAACATGAAAACAAAAAAGAATATTAGAGCTTTGGGAGCATTTGTGTAAAATTTACTTTACCTGGGATTTTACATTTTATTGATGAATAAAATGGCTACTTTATCTGTTTCAGTGTTTCAACTGGAGGTAAAACAAGGAGGCTAAAAAGCGCCATCACTACTCCTCAGAGAAGCAGTTAGCCAACTTTCTAATCACTTACAGTGAAGAGCAACTGGGGGATCCATTGTTCGGCAGCCTGATGGACAAACTAAAAATGTAAAAATCAAATTAGCCAAGCATTGTTAATGGGAACACTCACTATTGTTATGCAAAAGCCTCACTGTGGCATGCAAAACAAATACACTAAGGTTTGGAGATGGAATGGTTCGAAGGCCGCTGCCGTTTCATTTCAAAGCATGCATTATACATCAGTGTGCATAAAGAGGAAGCCTACAGCGTTATGATGTTTTTTTCCACAATGATTATCCTTTATTAGTCATTAAAAAGAAAGCAAGAGAGAGAGAAAAAAATACAACTTTTAAGCACCTGAACCTCGCTGCCAGCATTCCATTAATTGCCTGCACAATGGGGAGAGCCTTTCGAGATTTTTCAATTTCAAAAAATGAGGAGCATGCATTCAGTCGTGCTCATGTTATACCAGCACTTAAATCCTACAGAGCTCACATAAAAAAGGACTCAAGGTTGCATCCGATTGAAAGCCTCCAACTACAGCCACTTCAGAAATCCATTTAGCAAGCAGGAGGTTGGAACATCTAATTCAAACAGAGTCGCCCTGTTAAAACGCTTGTACCAATGTCTTTTAAAAACACACACACACACAAACACACACACCTTTCTCCTGTGTTTGATTGGCTCCATTGCAAGAAAGATTAACCTGGCACACAGAGACAGTAAGACACAAATAATTAATCTTGCTAGGCCTCAGCCAAGTGGCTTGACTGCATGTGGAGTCTTGACCTGTGCTTTGACAGTGTCAAAAAGGGTGCTCTATGAGGGCAACCAAAAAGAGGTCCGGGGTGTCTGTAATAACATGACAACTTGCAGGTCACGAATGTCATGACAGCTGCAGAATCCTGGGTGAAACAAATGTTTTTCTACGAAAGAAATGGATATTTACACAAGACGTTTCAAAGAATTAAATAAAAATAAGAAGGGAAAAAATGGTAGCTTTATGAAGTTATGTTTAATTCACTGAGAAACTGATGACACATGTTTGCAGTGGGAATGCTTGAGTCACTATACACCGTTAACAATTATGTAGCTATTGTTGTTAGCATACTTATTCATTTAATAGGACAGTTGCTTACACTCACTGTTAAACTTGAACAATGGCCAGCAAAACTTCCATCACACAAATCACAGGATAGCTGACCATTTCAGTTGATCAGATCAGTGGTTTTGAGTTTGTAGTTTTGTTCATTCTCATACTAATTACACAGTTCAGCTCCTGTTTGTTTCTACCAAACAGCTCTTATTAGTGTGGGAACCACATAATTAATAATTTCTCTCACAACTTTTTCCTAGAACAGACTGCAAACTGTGAAACTATCAGGCTGTCCATCAGACAGAAATTAAGTTTGCTTAAGGTTGCTCTAACAGAGAAAAACAAGATACTGTATAGGGAATCAGGACACCCACACATGGTTATTACTTGCTTTTCTATTTACTTCACAGAAAGTTTCAGTCTGTGACCTTATGTCAAGTGTTTAGAACAACAAATGTAGAGCAGTTCATAACCTGAATATAGACCAGATCAGACTGACAGATGAATGTAGACATTTAAAGAAGATGCATTTAATTTTCTCAAAGGTTTCTATTGCCAATAACCCAAATTACACAATTGGCTGCATGCAACAACATTTTGTACTCCTGTCCTAGATTTCCCTTTCTTTTTTCTGTGAGGCTGTAAGTATGCATCTCAAAAGTTCACACACAAGAGCTTATAAATGCACACAAATAGCTCACACAAAAAAGATTTGTGACAATATCCTACTTAAGTTTAATTAATGGAGCCTATTGGCCAAAACACAAAACCTAACCTCATCTTAATTCTAATTCTATACCTGAAACTAAAACACACCAGATTCCTCTCTCTAGATATAAACATGTGAACAGTTCTGTGGCCCAACAATGTGATTAAGCGGGCGTCTGACTGAGTGTGTTGACACACAACCACTTAGCTGTGTTGAGCTGTGTTGGTGGGTGACGAGAGGTTACAGGGGGAGTGTCACGTAGGCGTGTACAATATGGCCACATTGTGACAAGTTGATGTGAGTGGCCTCATTCATGTTTCCGGCTAGTTTCTGCTGTGTTGTCGTTAGTCATGCTGCTAATGTATGTACGCTACATTACCACCAATTTTCACCACCAGTGTGTTGGGATAGATAGACGAAAAAACACCATTTAACATCCAATAACTAACAAAATGCATGGCATATCATTACGGTGTGTTTTTAACTGTGGCCCAAATTCCAGAGTGAATATTAGTGGATTATCATGGTAACATGGCAAACAAGAAACTTTTCCCCATTCTGACCGTCCTCCTTTATGTGATTGGTCAACACAACATCTTGCTGGATGATGTCATCATGCATTGCAGAAAAACCTGCACCAGATCCAACTTTTTCACTGCATGTGGCTGCATCACGGTGTTGACTGC